GGGGAAAGACCATGCCAGTTTGGTTGGAATGTTAACCAAGACCATGACATTAATGATGAAACACAGGAAAATTTCCCTTTTGCTTCCAATGGTGGGGGAAGTGAACTAGTTCCCATATAGGACTAGGTGCAAAAGCAGGAAACAGAAGTTTGTATCCTTTTCCTTGGTGCCATGTGATACCTAGGTGCTCTTTCACTTGATTCTATTCCATTTTGTACTCAAAATTAAAGTCCTAATTTTACAAAAGAAATGTCTACTTATTTATTGATTGATTGATTTTTAGAGAGAGAGAGAAGGGGAGAGAGCAAAAAAAAAACACATTGATTTGTTGTTCCACTTAGTTATGCATTCGTTGATTGATTCTTGTATGTGCTGACTGGGGATCATACCTTCAGCCTTGGTGTATTGGGACAATGCTCTAACCAACTGAAATACCCAGCCAGGGCTACATTTTTTAGTATTAAGAAATTTCTGTGTATCTTATGCCATTTCCTCTGTTTTCTCAAATTATGGCTGCCTTAGATAGGAAACATAAGTGCCTAGTCAAAAAGGAGAAAATATTTGCTAACTTCCCTTTCCTCAGGAAACACAGTAATAGCCAAACACATTTGACCATATTGTTCTAATTATGTCATAATTTTTTAGTTCTTTTTCTAGCAGTGGTGATGATTTTCTATGAGACAGTGGCATTCTTATGACCAGAAATATATTTTAGAAGGGCACATAGGTGCTCAGTATAGTATTCAGTCATGAAGCAGCAGCAGATAACTGGCTTTTATACTTATAAAGTATCTGACTTTGGCCTAAATAATAAGGTATTATTACTAACCAAACAAGCATGGCAGACACAGAAATGATAAGGAAAATCATATTGGTATGCTCTAACAATCACTAACCAGCTTATTAGGGAGAAAAAAAAAGTTCCATATTAGTGAAAGGAAAAAAATGGCATAAAAAACGTTGTAATAAAACATTAAAATCTGCACGCAGGAAAGACACTAGTGTAGAAACTGAATAGTTGTGGATGTTGCAAGAAAAGTGACAAGGGCTTTAACCCCAGAGCAACTGCTATAAAACAGAATGGAAGGGGTAGAGAGGAGAGAAAGTGGATGTCTGTGGGACTGCTCTCTCATTATTCTAGACCAGGGGTGGGCAAACTTTTTGACTCGAGGTCCACAATGGGTTCTTAACATGGACCGGAGGGCTGGAACAAAAGCATGGATGGAGTGTTTGTGTGAACTAATATAAATTCAAAGTAAACATCATTACATAAAAGGGTACAGTCTTTTATTTCAATAGTTTTATTCATTTCAAATGGGCAGGATCCGGCCCGCGTGCCGTAGTTGCCCACGGCTGTTCTAGACCCTGACCTTTTCCCTACTCCATCCACATAGTCCCTGATGGCACTTCTATGTTCTGACATAATCATGGTCCTGACCCAAGACAATACTTGATTTATTTGGGGAGGAAGTCTGAACAAGTACCATCCAATGAGTTCCTTCCCAGGATTTTTAAACTGGAAACACACAGGGTCATCCTTCCCTTGGTGGCTAAAGCTGAAGTACTTAAATTTTACAGGAGGTAAGAGGCCACATTTTTAGTCATGGGAGAAAGCAATCTTCAGTGAGAGAAGAATGAAGTTGATACATTGAAAGGAGCAAACATGAGAGCTGGATGGAAAATATCCTGATGATATGAATTCCCATATTCATTTATTCCTGAGGCCCAGCTTCATTGCCAGGGTGGTGGCAGTAGTCCTGTACATTTCTATCCTTGGGGTATGTAAGGTCACTCAGTATTCTTGTAAATTCCCTTTTGGCTATTTTTATTTTTATTTATCTAGATAACTAGAGGAACAGTGCACGGATTTGTGCACAGATGGGGTCCCTCAGCCTGGCCTGCAGGGATGGGGCCGAAACCAGCTCTACCACATCCCCTGAGGGGTCCCAGATTCTGAGAGGGCAGTTCACGGGTGATGCACCCCGGAATCCAGCTCCCTCCTCTCTGGTTCCGGTGCATCACCTGAGAACCACAGCTAACAAATCACCACAGCTTGGCAGCTCCTGTGTTGAGGTCTGCACCCTGGTGGTCAGTGCCCATCATAGCTAACCGGTCGAACAGTCGGCCAGTTGCTTAGGCTTTTATATAGAGAGAGTAGTGGCCTAGTGCGTGAAATTCGTGCACGAGGGGGTGGTGTCCCTCAGCCCGGCCTGCCCCTTCTCACAGTCCAGAAGCCCTCAGGGGAGGTCCTACTGACTGCTTAGGCCCACTTCCACTCCCGCTCCTCTGCTCCCATGGAGGTGCTGCCTCCTCTACTCCTGCAACCCTGGCCCCACAGCCCCGTCTCTGCTCCTGAGGAGGCGCCTCCTCCGCTCCCACTCCCACAGTGACCCTGCCTCCACTCCTGCTCCCGCATTGGCACAGCCTCCTCCACCGCAGTGCGCCTCTCCCGTGCTGCTGCTGGCCCTAGGCCCTCAGACTTCCATGTGATACATTGTTTTGTATTTTTATTGTTTCTCAAAGTCCTTGTGCAGATTTCTTAGCATCAGACTATCTCTTGCCCTATATTCCATTTATACTGGAAATTTCCCATTGTTCTGGGCTTTAAATATACAATTGATCTTTGAACAATGTAGGGGTTATGAATACTGACCTCTTCTGCAATCGAAATCTATGTATAACTTCTGATCGACTCTTCTAAAACTTTACTAATAGTCTGCTGTTGACTGGGAGCTTTACCAGTAACATAAACATTCAATTAACACATAATACATTATATATATTGTATACCATCCTATATAATAAAGCAGCAATATCCAAATTGACCGTCATGCCCTTGCACAAGATGGCCACACCCATGTCGTCACAAGATGGCTGTACCCATGTCATCACAAGATGGCCAGCAAGGGAGGGCAGTTGGGGGTGACCAGGCCTGCAGGGGAGGGCAGTTGGGGGTGACCAGCCTGCAGGGGAGGGCAATTAGGGGTGACAGGGCTGGCAGGGGAGCGC